CCCCCCGCGCCCCCCCCCCCCCCCCCCCCCCCCCCCCCGCAAGCTCAATCCTTGTTCAGCCATTCTAGAACACTGTATGGTCCCTGGACATTTGGGCTCTAATACCAGTCTGCTAGTCTGCTGCATGTTTTAGGACTTGTGAATAAGAAGGCTGGACAGAGCCGAAGGTCCCTTCCACTCTGGAAGTTCTGTGATTCTTCAAGTTGAGCAACCGTTCCAGTTTGGGGGACCTTCCCTCTCTGGCCCCACCTCAGCCACAGGCTTTACTCCTGCTCTGCTTCTTGGACAGATCTGGGGCTCCCCTGCACCTGGCTAGCTTTAACTCTATTCTTGCATTAGTAGCACAGAACTTGGTAAGAATAATGTTTTCCAAAAGCCATAATAATCTGTAATAATAATAATTCTCTCCATATCCTAGAAAGCAGGGGGCAGTGTTCAAACAAATCCCATATGTGGATGCTTTCCTATCTCATAATGGATGCTGTTTCTCCCACAAAACATTGCTTACCTACCAACTTTTGTGTTAGATCCAGGGCCATGATGTCTCACTGATGACAACTTGCTTTATGTTTTCAGAGTCTGCCAGCTGCCTAAGCATATGCAGGCGCTCAATAAATATGTATGAAATTAACATTTGTTGACAAAATAAATAAAATAATGCAGCAAAAAGAGGATGTAGCTAAGCCACTTGCTTGAGTGCATGTGTCTGTGTGAGCACTGGAATGAAACAGGGAGAAAGACTGGAGATTATAGAGAACATACGATCCCTCTCTTCCAACCCAAAATACCCCTCCTTAAGGTTTGAGACTTGGGTGAATTCACTTAAGGGTAGTGCTGACATCCTTAGGAACTTGAAAGACTCTAGGTTCCAGCAGGGTAGAGCATGAGATGGAACAGGGAGGGAGGGTAGGGACACCTGGCTTAATTCAAGGTAAGGTTTATATTGAACATTATTAGCCAACGGCCCATTGGTTTGTGCATGTGAAGGATGCCTTTTCTGAAATGAAGACCCATAGCTTCTACTGGATTTCCAAATGGATCCTTGATCTAAAATTGCTGAGACTCTGGGCTCTAGATGGAGGCTGTATGACTAAAATTTCATCCTTGTTTCTTAGAGTAAGGTCAAAAGCCTAGAAGCTTTTAGAAATGTAAACTCTCAGGTCCCACCCAGTCTACTGGATAAGAATCTGCATTTTACCAAGACCTCCAAGCATTTGTAAATAGCAGTGCTAGAAAAACTTAGCCCAGGTGCTGTTAAGAAAATTAATCCTTTCTATAAACCTGTCACATCTCTGCTAGAGCCAAGTTGTGATGAAATGTCCACAGCAGGAACCTAGAAAGCTCACACCCTAGTAAACTAAGCACCACTCATCCAGGTGTCCTCAGAGGTGCAGATCACTGCCGAGCTTTCAGCCTGGGAAGAGGCACAACCTGGCAGTCCCAAAGGTCCAGTTAGAGGAGAGAAGAGGTGTTGGAACCAAGTTTTGGAAAGTGGGATGAAGTTAAGTGCTACGCACTAGGAACTATTGACCAAAAACCCCTATTTCTGTGGGAGAAACAGCATTCAGTATGAGACAGAAAAGTATCCACATGTGGGATAGTACAGAGGGGATGAGAAAGCCAGTGCTGGGGAGGCTGGGGAGGCTGGGGAGGCTAGCCTTTCCCAGGGTTCCAACTGCACAGTACAGCCTGGGAGTGCACCAGGGTGCAGATCTGCAACCTTACATAGCACTGGGGAAGCTCAGGGCTCTTTAGCAGAGTATCTTGCATACTAAATTGCTTGTCCTTTCATCCTTTAAACATAGTATTTCTTGGTTTAGCACCAGTAAAGTCTTTCTGAATCTTAGTTCCCAATATATCAACAAGATGCTATAAAATATCCCCTGCCTTCCCTCCCCATCCCATCTCTTGCTCAAGCCTCTGAGGCCGCTGTGACCCAGTCTTTGTCACCTCGATGTAGGAGCCCTGTTCATCATCAAAACTCGTTTTGCTGAACTTATCAGGGTCCACATGCACCTTCTCGGCTTCTAGCCCCAGAAACCACAGCTCTGCGTAGCCCAGGATTTCGCTTTGCTCATAAAGAGACAGACGATTCTTATAACACATCAGGGCCTCTGTGGAAAGACACAAAACTGTCAGTCACGCTGGGGCAGTGTGCAGATCTGCCCAGGTGCTGAAGGTGTGGACTCCTTGCCAGTCCATGAAACTTCTCCTTGACAGGGTTCCGCGAGGGACAACACATCAGGAATTTCGCCAGGCAGATATGTAACAAGGATACACCCTAAGGGTTTGCACTCATTTCAGTAAGTCAAAAGGAAAGCACAAACACAGGGTAAGGAGAATTTAGTGCCCAAAGGGCCATGAGTTGAGTAAGAAAATGCAGGAGTCACCCATGTCTGTTGTTAGGGTGGCATTTGCCAACTTCATGTGCGATCGGGGCATAGAGTCGGCCTTGACAGGTTTAAAAGCCACAAAGTCCAGGGCCAGGAGGTAACGTGCACATGACTTCCAAGACCAGTGGTGCTCACGCCCAGATGTGAGCCAAGGAGCAGTGTGCGGCCTCTCTGTGCTGCATGGGACAGGTCAGGTCTGGTGCTTGGGCAGGGTTGGGAGTGGGGCTGGAGTTCAGACTTCTGCAGATAAACTGGAGAAAGCCCAGAGGAGAGAAGCCAGGCCTGGGGAAGGAGCTTCGTCTTATGTGACAACTGTTGGAGGGCAGGAGAGGGAACCATGGGAAGAAGGAGCTGCAAGGCAACAGATCTCCATTTTCCACTGTGTGGCGGGCATCGTGTGAAAGACAACTAAGGCATGTTCCTGGTCCAGGGCAGAAAGCCCAGGCCAAGAGCGAGGTGGCAACTGTCACCTCTGCGAAGGCAGAACCAGCTCATAGCCAAAGCCATCTCCTCATGATCAACCTGAGATGATCTGAGGAGAAGAAGGACGACAATTTCAGTGACAGCGCTATGGCAGGAGAGCCGGAGCCTGGATGAGGCTGGACAAGGCTGGTGTCCAGGTGACTTCGGTTTTCTGCCTTTGGCCAGAATTCTTGTGTCCTGTGTGTGATCTTTCGGGTCTCATGGGGCAGGGCGCAGCAGACCCCCACACTGCGGTCTCTGCGAACTCCTCCTGTGCACATCCAGGCCCAGAGGCTCTGCTCAGAGCTCCACTCACCCGTCGGGGCCTGGCTGAGGTCCCCTCAGGTGCCTCTGCCAAGATCCCAGCTGAGAGGGAGAATTCCCACACATTCCAGTCTGTACTCCGTACTGCCCACTCGTGCCTCCTTCTCCCTCTCGCTTCCCTGTCCCCGAGACAGCAGAAGGGCAGTGCCTTCTGTCTGCACCAGCACACTGACTCTCACTCTGTGTGGGCTTGCGGGGAGTGGAGTGGTGGGAGGCTCGGGCTCGCTCCCACAGCACCTCTCACTCACACAGTCACAGCAGGATGGAGGCTCGAGACTCTTCACTGGGGCTGGTCGTCCTAAGCCACTCTCCAGCTCCTTCACAGCCCAGCTCAGCTCAGCTTGGCTCCTGACACCCTGCCCCTGCTGCTGCCCCAAAGTCGTACCTGCCGCTGTCAACGGCACCTTGTGCTTCCTTGGAGATTTCTCCTCGGGCTTGGGGTCTTGGCTTTTAATGTTAGAGTGGAAAAGTATTCCTGAAGTCTTGTTCTCGGAGGCCAGCACCCGATGATTAGTTTGATGATCCTGTCCAGGGAAGGAGGTTTGCAGAGAAGGACTATTTAGGCTTCTCCTGGGGTCATAAACCTTTTACCTGAGCCAGAACACCAATATCTAGCCAGGATCCTTTCCTACATCTCCAGGGAGAAAACAGTAGTTAAGAGACAGTTGGTTTTCTCAGACTTTCTCTCAAAGGACTCATCTGACTTTCATTATACCCAGGAGAGCCACGCACATTAGTGGGTACTGGTGGCAACCCCAGTGGTAGGAAGATGGGAGAACAGTCTTTACTGATGCTTCTGAGGAGGCCAGTTCCCAAATAGATGAAGTAACTTGCCCAAGGGTACATAAACCTGCACTTACGTGTGTATAGCTAATTAACTTGTTACTTCCCCATATATTATCTCACTTAATCCTTGCACAGAGAAGGTAAAGAACATAGGAGGAAAACAATATTTTTACAAGTCTCCCATTACACCAAAGCTTCAATTTCTCCTTTCCTTGGTGGATCGTCACAAAGAGCTTCACAGAGAGCCCCTTTAGTAGATAAAAGAAAGTCAACAGCTCGTGTTTACGTTCATCAGAAAGAGTGAGCACAGGGCTTGAACCCGACTCTCCAGCAGACACTGTGCTTTCCTTCTCCTTCTGTAACCCTTCTAGGCTTGGTTGTGGATTTACTCAGTCTTTGCCACTGAGGATCATGTTCATGGCCCCGTCCTCACCTGGTACCGCAGGGCTGGTTTCAGCAGGGTTTTGTTGCTGATGTGTGGGAAATTAACTGGGTTCTTCTTTCCACTGGAGTCCACAAAGAGGTGTGAAGTCATGTTATTGACTGTGTTCTAGAAGCAGAAAATGGATACTTTACAAAACCTTCATTTCATCCAGCCTCCTCCCCTGAGAATGAGCTGCCCCTCGTTTTTGGAGAGAAATGCAGATTTGAGAGAGGAGAGTAATCTAGAAGGGCTCTGGTTCGAACCTGCGGCTCACAGCTTTATTAGCTGTAGACTTTGAACAGGTCATACTCTCTCTTTCTCTAAGCCTCAATGTGTCATTGCTATCATGGGGACAAAAATGGAACCTACCCATTAGGGTCTTTGTGAGGCAATACATGTAGATTATGCCATTACTGGCTGTAGTCCAGTATCTTACCACCTAGACATGGGGACGTCCTTCTTTCTATACAACACAAATCTTACATAGTGCAACATGAATTCTCATTTCCTCTATGGCTACTTAACAGACTTCATCTTCTGTATTTGGATCCCTGCCCTGCTGTATTGATTGCTTGACTGGTCAACTGACTGCAAGAGAGTCTATTAATAAATAGCAATATTTAAAACTGCATAGCCAAAATGGCCATACTGCCAAAACTGCTACATATTTAATGCAATCCCAATCAAAGTACCAATAGCATTCCTTACAGAATTAGAAAAAACAATCCTAAAATTCATATGGCACCAGAAGAAACGTAGAATAGCAAAAGTAATTCTGGGTAACAAGGACAAAGCAGGGGGCATCACAATTCCAACCTTCAAGTTATACTACAAAGCCACAGTGATTTTTTTTTTTAAAGGCACGACATTGGCAAGAAACAGACTTGGGCATCAGTGGGACAGAATGGAGGATGCAGAACCAGCTCCAGTTACACTACGTTATCTTTGACAAGTGGGCCAAATAGTTGTGCTGGAGGAAAGACACCCTCTTTAATAAACAATCTTGGGAAAACCGGCTATCCGCCTGCCAAAGATTGAATCTAGACCATATCTCTCACTGTGCACAAAACTAAAATTAAAATGGATCAAAGATGGAGACATCGGAACAGAAACTCCTAAAGGCATGGGTACAGGAAAAGAATTTCTGAAAAGAACCCCAGGTGCACAAGAAACAATACCAAGAAGCAACAAATGGTATCACATCAAGTTTAAAAGATCCTGCAAGGCAAAAGAAACCACCAACAGAGTGGAGATGACCCACGGCAGGGGAAAGAAGTTTTGGCAGCTACTCCTCAGCACAGGACTGATATCTAGAATGTATTAAAAATTAAAAAATTAGACCCTAAATTTAAAGACCCAGTCAAATAATGGGCTTCTGAAAGTAACAGACACTTCTCAGATGAAGAGGTACAAAAGATGAGTAAGTACATGAAAAAACATTCAGCATTGCTGGCCACTGGAGAAATGCAATTAAAGCAACACTAAGATTCCATCTCACTCCAGAAAGAACGGCTATCACCAAGCAATCAACCAATAATAAATGCTGGTGAGGCTGCAGGAGAAAAAGGAAGTCTTCTTCATTATTTGTGGGACTGTAAACTGGTACAATATTTAGGGAAATCAGTATGGCTCAAAAAGTGTAGCTCAAACTGGGCTGGGCGTGGTGGTGCATGCCTATAATCCCAGCACTTGGGAGGCTGAGGCAGGAGGATCACTGTGAGTTCAAGACCAGCCTGGGCTACATAGTGAGCTCCAGGTCAGTCTCAACTACATAGTGAGACCCTGTCTCTGGG